ATCCTTATTGGGAGGGTGTTGAACAGCTTTGAACTTCTACTGTTCAGTGCTCTCCAATTGTGCCTATGGCATCTCTACTCCTCACAGATCCAATACTGCATTTCCTTCCGTATCTTTCGCTCCAGTATGTTGTTATTCTACTTTGCAAAATTTGGACCTGGTCTTCCAGTATCTTCCAGGTATATATTATTACATGTTCATCATACGTCATGTTCACACAACGTCATTCTCACGTGACGTCATGTCAACATAACTTCAGTAAAAGGAGTGAAGGTAAATCCGGACTTTTTGGTTTTAAGGAAAGTCTGAATTTGACTCCAGGGGCCAGATTCACGAAGCAGTTACGCAAACACTTACGAATGTGTACATCTTTCCTCAATCTTTGACGGCTTTGGTTACATTTATTAAACAGTTTACAAGCATGAAAACTTGCCAATCAACTGTTGTTATTGTTATAAACAGCCTCCTGGTGCTTCGGAGCTCATTAACTGTTTAATAGTTGTAAACAAAGCCGCCAAAGATTGAGAAAAGATGTACCGGTTCGTAAGTGCTTGCGTCAGTGCTTTCGTGAATCTGGCCCCTGGCCTTTTAAGGGTCTATCTAAAGTCCAGGCGAAAAGTCCGAATTTGGCTACCCGACTTTTTACGGCCCGTTTCGTGTCAGGGCAGAGTTCCCGCCCCGGTTTCAGGCCTAAAAGGGTCCATGTTGAGTCTGTTTAGGTCGAACGTTAGTTCCTGGGCCCGGCTTAGGATATCGTTCGTCATAATTTCGCAAGTATACGTCAGATTTAAATTAAATTTAAACATAGATCCTGAGGCGCAAGACAAAGAAAAAATGCAGTTCTTGGGCTCCAGCTCTTGTTCTAAGTCGAAGTTTATCTGTGTAATTTAATAAGTAAAAAAGTATTTTGCAGTTATGTTATTTAAAAATATTGACATGTTTATCCTTCAGAATGTATATTCTCTCTAGCAGTATGCCTGCAAGCAATGTGCAAGCAGTAGCTTGCAAGCAAGTATTATGACCCCAAGTAATAGAGGGGAAATGATTCAACAGTAGCGTCTCCCTCCCTTCCCTCTGCTAATTTTCCCTCCCCTCTCCTCTTCCTCCTCCCCTCTTCCTCCTCTCCTCTTCCCCCTCCCCTCTTCCTCCTCTCCTCTTCCCCCTCCCCTCTTCCTCCTCCCCTCTTCCTCCTCTCCTCTTCCCCCTCCCCTCTTCCTCCTCTCCTCTTCCTCCTCCCCTCTTCCTCCTCCCCTCTTTCTCCTCCCCTCTTCCTCATCCCAATCTTCTCTCCCTAAGAATCCAACGATATCTGAAAAGGGTTTCAATTTGACGACCACACTACACATCAGACCATAAATAAACAACGACGTTTCGCTCCATCCTGAACCTTTATCAACTCGTGTGGTTGAGAAAAGCCTGATAATGGTCCAGTACGGACCCAAACGTTATCGTTAACACATGTTCTAATGTGTGATTTGGTGTTCATATCTTCAGCCACGTTCTTGTGATTCATTGTCTGCTGGTGTTCACTATGTCAGTAACTCGAGTTGTTCCCAATCCGTTATCTGTTCTTCCTGTTAAGACCGAACCGAACCGTTGTTCTCCATCCTGAACCTTTATCAAGTTGTGTGGTTGAGAAAAACCTGATAATGGTCCAGTACGGACCCAAACGTTGTCGTTTAAACACTACCTAGCCGGCTGATTGATGATTGATTAAGATTAAGCAGCCCAAAAGGTGGCACGGGCATGAATAGCCCGTAAGTGGTGGTGATTTTGAGCCATCACCAGTATCAATAGATGATACTGGAGATCAGTGGAGGTGCGACTGCACCCTGCGTGACGGGAGATGTCTCCTCCGTGTTGGCCGGGTACATAAGTGAGTGTTATATAGGATGCCCGTGCCACCTCTTGGGTGGCTTAATCTTTATCAATCAATCAAGATGCCCGTATTATTTTTCTTGAATTTACGCGGCTAATCCTAGGCTGCTTGCTGGGAAGCCAGTACCATTCTCTTTTTTTAACACTTTAATCTACACATTTTTTTCCATTGACAGTGTTAAGTAAATCTCTCTCTCGCTTTGTAAGTAAACTTTCCAGCCACTTGTGTAACCCACCGTATATTAAGTCATCCAAGTAGCTGCGGCTGATTCTCGAAACAAAAAAAAAGTAACTTTCTCTGGCAGTGAAAACAGGTAAGTTTCTGCTCTCATCCTCACACATCATAAGCTGTCTATAGTCCTTTAGACACCGATCTATCATCCTATATCTTAAAATCCTCTGCTTCTCCTCTTTTTATGCTGTATCTGGAAACATTTATCTGCCCTCCTGTGTACTAACCTCTAAAGCCTCAAATTTAATATATCTTCCAACTCTGTGGCAGCCTCGTCTTTCTCACGATCTTATCTAAAAACTTAAAATTTCGTCCCCTCTTTCCATCATGTTTTAACTCCAATCTTACCCACTTCACCTGCGAGTTCCTTACCGAACCCTGGAACGAGGCCGTTTTTATCGGGCGGTTCTCCATTGCTCACTAACGTATACACGTCGCTCGACACCCTCACCTCTCACTACACCCACCAGCAGTCACCTCTGCTCTCCTCGCCACCAATATTAAGGTCAAATCCTGCCTCAAACAGCAAAGATCAGTTGGATGCTTGCCACGTTTTTGACCCATGCAGATAATGTAAACCCCAGAGTACTTTGAAGTTTCTTACATCTCCATCAGTGTACATAGTTGTCACCCTTTTTGTCATATAGAATTATCTGCATTTGTCGACTGTGCCACATTATGTGTGTCTGGGATCACGTTTACAGTTGTTTATTGAACACCTGTAACCTTATAACGAAGCCACTTGTGTGTCACTATTTCAGATACCTGACAGACCAAACAAATTAACAGGTGGTCGGTCAACAAGGGTTAACTTGTGAGTTATAAGTTTTCTGTGCTGGAGCTTCCTTCGCCAAGACTGTCAACAATGCAGGCGATGAGTCACAATAACGTGGCTGAGGAATGTTGACCAGACCACACACTAGAAGGTGAAGGGACGACGACGTTTCAGTCCGTCCTGGACCATTCTCAAGTCGATTGTGACTTGAGAACGGTCCAGGACGGACCAAAACGTCGTCGTCCCTTCACCTTCTAGTGTGTGGTCTGGTCAACTGTGAACAATGACTTCCGGTTCAGTCCTCTACGTAAACTAACCGGGCAGCTCACTTCTGGTTTGCTAGGCAGCTTGCTGGACGTGTTTCAGCCATGTGCCTCCACACACCCAGCACAAAGAAGGACTGTACCCCAGGAACCGTTCACTCAGGGGCACCTTTTCTCCTCTACAACTACACTTCCTGGAACTCAACGCTTGACGACCCCACTTTTGGAAAAACTTAACTTACACTTGGGATTAAAGACATTGTATCTCTGCTGACGTTGTCACTCGACGTGTCAACAACGTCTTTGTGTATGAAGTGATTTTGGTATCGAATTGTTCTTAAGTTGTGATTAATTACCACACATCATAATATGGCAGCAATGGGAACAGACGGAAATTGTTACGTACCTTAAATATTGGTGGAGTTCTGTTCCTCGATGATCTATTTATAATTTATCTGAAACGAAAGGAAACTAATTATGTACTATTTACACGTTCTTTATACATTAAAATTTGTATTTACCATTTAAATAATCATGTTTTAATCCACATTTATATACATATAAGCAGCGCTGATAAAGGTGGCGCTTGAGCATCGAGGTGTTGCTTACCTTGGACTGAAGGGACGAAGGGAAGAGAAAGACGAGGCTGCCACAGAGTTGGAAGATATATTAAATTTGAGGCTTTAGAGGTTAGTACACAGGAGGGCAGATAAATGTTTCCAGATACAGCATAAAAAGATGAGAAGCAGAGGATTCTAAGATATAGGATGATAGATCGGTGTCATAAGGACTATAGACAGCCTAGACACAACATACATCAACATTACAATCTAACTCACCAACCCTTGAGCGCAGGCGGGAGAGATACATAATAATTTACACGTGGAAAATAGTAGAGGGGCTGGTCCCAAACCTGCACACAGAAATAACATCACATGAGACCAGAAGACATGGCAGGATGTGCAGAACACCCCCGTTGAAAAGCAGAGGTGCAACAGGTACTCTGAGAGAGAACTCTATCAACATCAGAGGCCCGAGACTGTTCAACACGCTTCCACTACACATAAGGGGTATAACTGGCCGACCCCTCACAGTGTTCAAGAGAGAACTGGATAAGCACCTCCAAAGGATACCTGATCAACCAGGCTGTGACTCATACGTCAGGCTGCGAGCAGCCGCGTCCAACAGCCTGGTTGATCAGTCCAGCAACCAGGAGGCCTGGTCGACGACCGGGCCGCGGGGACACTAAGCCCCGGAAGCAGCTCAAGATCAAGATCAAGGCCTCTGAGTATAAGTTAGAGAGGGGGTGTGAAGGTACGGTTGACACTCAAGGGACCAGATTCACGAAGTAGTTACGCCAGCACTTACGAACGTGTACATCTTCCCTCAATCTTTGACGGCTTTGGTTACATTTATTAAACAGTTTACAAGCATGAAAACTTCCCAATCAACTGTTGTTATTGTTATAAACAGCCTCCTGGTGCTTCGGAGCTCATTAACTGTTTAGTAATTGTAAATAAAGCCGCCAAAGATTGGGAAAAGATGTACAGGGTCGTAAGTGCTTGCGTAATTGCTTCGTGAATCTGGCCCCAGGGGCCTCCTCCGGCCTGGGACAGGCCTGTTTAGACTCTGGCCTGCTACTGCTGTAACCTCTGTGCCAGAACAAGGCTCTTCTGCCTTGATATACAGAAGAGTATTTAAGTATTTAAGTATATACATTTATACATTGTATATACATTGAGTATTTAAGTATATACAGCTCGAGTATTTAAGAAGGAACCAGGAGCTAAGAACCTACCAGGAGATAGCCTCTGGTTATCCTCCTAACTACACCTAGACAGCGGCTTGATTGATGGAAAGAACAAAGGAAAACGTCTGCAATTATCAGCTTAGCAGGGAGCGGGGTCACCTGACACGACCACACATCTGCATCAATACATCTACATCAACACCTCTACATCAACACATCTACATCAACACATCTGCATCAACACATCTACATCAACACATCTACATCAACACATCTACATCAACACATCTACATCAACACATCTGCATCAACACATCTACATCAACACATCTACATCAACACATCTACATCAACACATCTGCATCAACACATCTACATCAACACATCTACATCAACACATCTACATCAACACATCTACATCAACACATCTACATCAACACATCTACATCAACACATCTGCATCAACACATCTGCATCAACACATCTACATCAACACATCTACATCAACACATCTACATCAACACATCTACATCAACACATCTACATCAACACATCTACATCAACACATCTACATCAACACATCTACATCAACACATCTACATCAACACATCTACATCAACACATCTACATCAACACATCTACATCAACACCTCTGCATCAACACATCTACATCAACACATCTGCATCAACACATCTGCATCAACACATCTGCATCAACACATCTGCATCAACACATCTGCATCAACACATCTACATCAACACATCTACATCAACACATCTACATCAACACATCTGCATCAACACATCTACATTCATGGTGTTACATATGTACGTCTTGTCTGATGGTGTTACATATGTACGTCTTGTCTGATGGTGTTACATATGTACGTCTTGTCTGATGGTGTTACATATGTATGTCCTGTTTTATGGTGTTACATATGTACGTCCTGTTTCATGGTGTTACATATGTACGTCCTGTTTTATGGTGTTACATATGTACGTCCTGTTTCATGGTGTTACATATGTACGTCCTGTTTTATGGTGTTACATATGTACGTCCTGTTTTATGGTGTTACATATGTATGTCCTGTTTTATGGTGTTACATATGTATGTCCTGTTTTATGGTGTTACATATGTACGTCCTGTTTTATGGTGTTACATATGTACGTCCTGTTTTATGGTGTTACATATGTATGTCCTGTTTCATGGTGTTACATATGTATGTGCTGTTCTAGCCATTAGTCTAGAGTTTATTAAAGGTAAATAAACATTCCTCCCTACCCCCCTTTGTGCTAGGATGATTATAGTGTTATGCCAGTGATTACGGAATTACTTTTTTTACTGGTAATGAATGTGTATGTCTACATGTATGTATACTCACTGGTATACTCGAATATGCTTTTAATCTACAAAAAAAACAGTTTATCCAGAAGATTAATACAACCAATTTATGATAGTAACGTAATATTAAATTCTGTGAGACACTTAGTAAAGAAGATAACATTGCCATCCAGATAACATGATCCAGATATCCTCCAGATAGCCATTTGCATTCAGATTCCACTTAGAGTGTTGCCAGAATTTAAATTTTACATGTTTATTGGCAGACTCTATACACAGTTTCCAATGTATATATGATGGAGCCCAGTAGGCTCCAGAATCTGTATATCAGTTGATTGACAATTGAGAGGCGGGTCCAAAGAGCCAGAGCTCAACCCCCGCAAGCACAACTAGGTGAGAGCACACACACAAGCTCACTATAAAAAGTATCATAAAACATGTTCTTGTCCTGTTCTTGAGGAGCATGATAAAGGCAGACGGGATTCGAAGCCTGACACGGCGGCTCAGTTGACTGTTGATAATTTATCTCCAGGAGCCAAGCGCCGTGGCGTGGCCCGTCGCTATGGTTACCCGACTGGCGGAAGTCGCGGTGACGCATGCCACTCCTGCCGCAGCTGTGACGCATGCCACTCCTGCCGCAGCTGTGACGCATGCCACTCCTGCCGCAGCTCTGACGCATGCCACTCCTGCCGCAGCTGTGACGCATGCCACTCCTGCCGCAGCTGTGACGCATGCCACTCCTGCCGCAGCCCTGACGCACGCCACTCCTGCCGCAGCTGTGACGCATGCCACTCCTGCCGCAGCTCTGACGCACGCCACTCCTGCCGCAGCTCTGACGCACGCCACTCCTGCCGCAGCTGTGACGCATGCAACTCCTGCCGCAGCTCTGACACACGCCACTCCTGTCGCAGCTCTGACACACGCCACTCCTGCCGCAGCTCTGACACACGCCACTCCTGCCGCAGCTCTGACACACGCCACTCCTGCCGCAGCTCTGACACACGCCAATCCTGCCGCAGCTCTGACACACGCCAATCCTGCCGCAGCTCTGACACACGCCACTCCTGCCGCAGCCCTGACACACGCCACTCCTGCCGCAGCCCTGACACACGCCAGTCCTGCCGCAGGTCTGACACACGCCAGTCCTGCCGCAGCTCTGACACACGCCAGTCCTGCCGCAGCCCTGACACACGCCACTCCTGCCGCAGCCCTGACACACGCCAATCCTGCCGCAGCCCTGACACACGCCACTCCTGCCGCAGCCCTGACACACGCCAATCCTGCCGCAGCCCTGACACACGCCACTCCTGCCGCAGCTCTGACACACGCCACTCCTGCCGCAGCTCTGACACACGCCACTCCTGCCGCAGCTCTGACGCACGCCACTCCTGCCGCAGCTGTGACGCACGCCACTCCTGCCGCAGCTGTGACGCATGCAACTCCTGCCGCAGCTCTGACACACGCCACTCCTGTCGCAGCTCTGACACACGCCACTCCTGCCGCAGCTCTGACACACGCCACTCCTGCCGCAGCTCTGACACACGCCACTCCTGTCGCAGCTCTGACACACGCCAATCCTGCCGCAGCTCTGACACACGCCAATCCTGCCGCAGCTCTGACACACGCCACTCCTGCCGCAGCCCTGACACACGCCACTCCTGCCGCAGCCCTGACACACGCCAGTCCTGCCGCAGGTCTGACACACGCCAGTCCTGCCGCAGCTCTGACACACGCCAGTCCTGCCGCAGCCCTGACACACGCCACTCCTGCCGCAGCCCTGACACACGCCAATCCAGCCGCAGCCCTGACACACGCCACTCCTGCCGCAGCCCTGACACACGCCAATCCTGCCGCAGCCCTGACACACGCCACTCCTGCCGCAGCCCTGACACACGCCACTCCTGCCGCAGCTCTGACACACGCCAGTCCTGCCGCAGCTCTGACACACGCCAGTCCTGCCGCAGCTCTGACACACGCCACTCCTGTCGCAGCTCTGACACACGCCACTCCTGCCGCAGCTCTGACACACGCCACTCCTGCCGCAGCTCTGACACACGCCAGTCCTGCCGCAGCTCTGACACACGCCACTCCTGCCGCAGCTCTGACACACGCCACTCCTGCCGCAGCCCTGACACACGCCAATCCTGCCGCAGCTCTGACACACGCCAGTCCTGCCGCAGCTCTGACACACGCCACTCCTGCCGCAGCTCTGACACACGCCAGTCCTGCCGCAGCTCTGACACACGCCACTCCTGCCGCAGCTCTGACACACGCCACTCCTGCCGCAGCTCTGACACACGCCAGTCCTGCCGCAGCTCTGACACACGCCACTGCAGGGAAAAATCTTACAGGATTACTGGAGCAATTTTGACATTATCCCACTCTTACGTATGTCAGCTGGGAGTAAATGTGATTAAAACCTAATTATGCTGTAAACGCTTGTTTGGGGGTACTGAGAGTGGTTCATAAAGCGTGTTTGTTATGGTAGTGAGGTGGCTGTATGGTGCAACCCGTTCTCGCACTTGCTTATAGTCAATATTGGCTTATTTAATAAATGCATATGTGACATACTAATTGATTGTGAATATTTTAGTTTACCTTGAAAAGCTTCATAGAAAACACCGACCTCACCTAACCTTCTTAGTATGTTAAGATAAGCATCTTATTGCTTCGTAATTACAATTATTACTTAACCGATACCTATTATAGGTTAGGTAATAATTGTAATTACGAAGCAATAAGATGGTTATCTTAACATACTAAGTAGGTTAGGTAAGGTCGGTGTTTTCTATGAATCTTTTTAAGGGTATCTATTATGTTAAGTATGTCACCTATGCACATATTTAATAAGTCAATATTGACTTATTAAATTTGCGAGAACGGGTTGAAAGTCTGTGATTGGTTCCATCTGTAAATTAAATGAAAGTTCCCAAACAGTTGGCTATAATTAGGATAACGTAAATATTATATGACTCGGGTGATGTATAACTCTGTTATGAATTACAACTAATAATCATACGTCAGAGATGCGTCTTCCTCTTAGTGACGACGTATCCACGGGTCCTGTGACGTATTTCACGTCACAAGCTGCCTGGTGAACTGATCCCAATTCATTTCATGTCACTTTCTCAAGCATGGAATGTCTGAGAAAGTGACATGGTAGATGTGAGGTGATGGTGATCTCATCACCATCACCTCACCATCACCTTTCGGAGCTCCATTACCTGGTGGATCCACAAGGGCCGTGACGAGGGTTCGAACCTACGTCCGAAAGGATCCCAGACGAGCCTTAATCAACTGAGCTGTTATAGTTGGTGTTAGTGTGTTAAAAGAGGATTTCTACGCGAAGTTCGCGCTTGAATACCAATCCGGAGCTTTGTGTGGCAACCTCCACATTATCTTGAGATGATTTCGGGGCTTTAGTGTCCCCGCGGCCCGGTCCTCGACCAGGCCTCCACCCCCCAGGAAGCAGCCCGTGACAGCTGACTAACACCCAGGTACCTATTTTACTGCTAGGTAACAGGAAAACTCTCATTCCTCTGTGTTGTTCTTCGGTCGTCTCTGGTTTGGGGACAGTCAGACTGTTGTGAGGATAAGCTTATACCATTCTTCGAAAAATTCAATCTCTATACACTGAGGATTTCTACTTATAATCTTCATAGGTGCTTCCTGCAGCCACTTATACATAAGTGACGGAAATCATCTTAGCGTTTAGCATACATTAGCAGATTAACGTCAAGGCATACAGTGAGCTTCCAGCTACGTTGACCATCGCTGTCTGTCTGTCTGTCTGTCTGTCTGTCTGTCTGTCTGTCTGTCTGTCTGTCTGTCTGTCTGTCTGTCTGTCTGTCTGTCTCTAAGTTGGTTAAAGTTCGCAATCCCATATTAACTCTTGAACATCACATCTCAAGTGAATAGGGAATTATCACGGAAAAGAGCCAAGCCATTACGTCTATATAGCACTTGAAAGGGGTCAGGATAAGGATTGGGGATGGGGGGGTGAAAGGAATGGTGCCCCAACCACTTGTGGACGGTCGGGGGATTGAACGCCGACCTGCTTGAAGCGAGACCGTCGCACTACCGCCCAGCCCAAGTGATTGGGCACACATCACAGGTGAACACTGACCAGTGGGTGGTGCTGGGTTGTTCAACTATTGGTCCAATTCTCGTGTCGTCTCTGACTTATAAAGCTGTAGAACATTTAATTATATTTCATTGTCTCCCCAGATAACACACCTTATCTTTCCAATATTGCTGATACTAATTTGTTGGTGCCCCTTTGGCTCCCTTTACAATCAAGTACATGTAAAGTGGACTAAGCGTATACCTAATACAACCAATGACAAAACATGGTTTAAAATATATATATATATATATATATATATATATATATATATATATATATATATATATATATATATATATATATATATATATATGAAAGGAAACAGTTATTGCTAATAAATGTTAATAACAGTTATTAGCAATAATAAGCTAATAA